CATAATCTGATCTATGTCAGCCCTCCCCAACTCAGTGATATCCAGATGTTTCAGAATTGAGTTTGCATGAGCTCCAGCCAGCATGGCCCTGTGGTCAAGAACGCCGGGGTTGTCAGCCAAAGACTCAGGGGGTAATAGGCCAGGAAAGGGTGCTGTAATTCTACTGTTGTACTCAGTACATTAGTGGAAGTTAGTGGGGAGGGCAGAGAGAAATTTAAGAGAACCATGGTAGATACAGATCTTGAAAAAAGAAGGTCCCTTGAGGCACCTGTTCTCAAGCAAGTTGGATCTGTTGAGGGGTTTGCACAAATGTCCTGTCAGGTTCTTTCAAAAACCAAAATTTAGGGGCTCCAGTGGGTGCCACTGTATGATGGATTGAGGAAGTCCCATTCTCTTTTTTTGCTAGTTTTTAAAAGTCAGATGATAATCTTTCATTCAGATCAGTTTGAACAAAACTATTGACAGTTCCTTATTTACTTAAGAACTTCAGAAAAGCCATGCTGGGTCACACCAAGGGTCCATCAAACCAGCATTCTGTTCACACAGTGGTGAACCAGCTTCCGGCAAGGTCCCTCAAGCAAGATATGAGTGCAGCAGCCGTCTCCTGACCTTCCCCAGCAACTGCTGCACATAGATCCCAAAGGCGTCATACAGTCTTCAGAACTAGTGGCCATTGACAGCCGTCGTCTCCGTGACTGTGTCCAACCCCCTTTAAAGCTATATAAATTGGTAGCCATCACTACTTCTCACGGCAGTGAATTTCATAATTAAACTACGTGCTGTGTGAAGAAGTGCTTCCTTTATCCATGGTGAATCTCCCATCAGCCAGTTTCATGGGATCACCCTGGGTTCTAACATTTTGGGAGTGACAGAAAAATGACTCCTTCTCCACCTTCTCTTCTCCATACATAATCCTGAACACCATTTTTAAGCTAAACAATCCCAGTTGCTGTAACCTTTCTTCACAGGGGAGTTGCTCCAACCCCTTCATCACTTTGGTTGCCTTTCTGCACTTGTTCCAGTTCCAAAATGCCTTTTCTGGCACAGTATTCTAAGTGCCGTCACACCCAAGGTTTGTATAATGAGTATAACCTTTGCAGTTTTATTTTCAATTCCTTTTCTAAATATGCCTAACAGAGAGTTTAACTCTTTCACAGCAGTTGCACACTAGGTCAACATTTTCATCCAGCTGTCCACCACAACCCCTTTCTTGATCAGTCACTGCTAGCCCAGATCCCATCACCTTACACTTGAAGTTGGGATGTTTGACACAAATATTCTACTTGCCTAAACTGAACCACATTTGCCTATTTTCCCAGGTTGGTGAGGTCTCTTTAGAGCACTTCACAGTCCCTTTTAACCCCCCTAGATAGCTTGGCTTCACCAGCCACTTCACTGCTCATTTCTAATTCCAATGATTTATGGATAGGTTGAAAGGCATTGGATTCCTGTGCGACGCTATTGTTTACATCCCTCCCTTGGGATAAATTAGCTTTTACCCCCCACTCTCTGTGTTTTCTTTAACCAGTTACTGATCCTTTAGAGGACCTCCCCTCTTATTCCATGACTACAGGTTTTTGTAGGTGTCTTTGGTGAAGGGCATCATCAAAAACCTTTGGAAACTCCAAGGAAACAAAGGCTACTGGACCGATGCTGCCTGCAGGTTTATTGATACACTCAAGGAACTCCAATACATAGAACTTCCTGGTTTCTTAAGGTTCTCCTGTGACATGGTATAAAGCCCTTGAGTCTCTATAAGTTGACTCAAGTCTTATTCTCCATGCTAGTCCATCCCAATCTTTTAGATCAGCCCTAATCACCCTTTGGACTGAGTAAGGGTATATGCAGCAATAGTGTCCGTGGCTGACTATTCCAGAAAGCTGTGTCACCTCACCTGGGGCAACCATAAGCTATAGGCCTAACCCAATTCCAGAATCACCACAAGCATTTCTGATTTGGTTTGGCTTTTATTTACATTTAATTTTTATGGTATCTTATGAAAATTACATATAATATCTCTTCTACAACATATTGTCATCTTCAGTATATTGATATTACACGTTGTTACTGAGTCGGCTTTTAGTCACTGGGATCAAGCCTATTTGGGGTAAGCTGAACAAATTCATGTTACACATTACATTTTCATTGAAGGCTGTATCATATGGCTATCACTACATATTTGGAGGATTATCTCATGAATTAAATATTGTGGGTTAAAAACCAAAAGAAATACATAAAATATGGACTATATTTTTAAACAATATATAACATCATATAACAAGATTTTTTCCATCTCTCTTTCCAAATAACACATTTTCTATAAATGGGTAAAGGGACTTGGGTCTGCCTTGTCATCTATGAAATATGCCTTACAATGAAGCCATGTTTAAAAATAAAATAAACCGAGTAAAACAATCACTTGTGTTATTCATAGTTTTTAAAAACTTTATTAGTATAATAGAATTACAGTTGACATAAAATAATGAGCTTTTGCTAAACTCTGTAAAGCATTACATGCGTCTGCCATAAACAACCTCTATTATAGATTTAGGTCTTATTGCCACATCACTGCACTAAGGTGCAATAAACATTCAATGTCATCTTTTTAAATTATCCCAGGAGTAAACAGAAACTGTCCTCTATAAGAGTGTATCATTATTTTCAAGGAAGACTTACTATTATTACATGGTTTAGCAAAGCACTGTAAAAAAGCTACATAGAGAATACCTTGTCCTTGATAAACTGTGCAATCAGATTTATACAGTATACTATTCACATAGACTAACAAACTAAGAGATGGTATAATGCAGTCATTGCATAGCAAAAAAAGCAAACTAGTTAAGTAATATTCACATCTAATGTGCAAAATGCAGACCAAAAGGTAGCAAAGTGGATCATTAGGAAGGTAAAATGCCCTTAATGAACACACTAGATTAAACGCCAAAAATAACAAGATAAACAGATACCAAAGTTAAAGAGTTGTATTTTATTTTAATTTTGCTTCTATACATATATCTACACATAATACCAGAAGATAACACATCCTCCTTATTAAGCTCCAGTCAGATTAGCTCATCAAGTTTAGACAGGACTAAATGGTAGACAATGAAGCATTAGTTTAAAAAAAAAGAGTTGTCTTTTCTAAAGAAAAGGTTAACTATTTCATTTTGTAGATACTAAGTGAGCAGCAACCTTTGTTTTATTGAGAAAGAGTATATAAAACATTGCCTGTAACATGTATAGATATCAAACTGACTATCTTATTAGCTATTTTGATTGAAGGTCCATGTAGCATTGTTTTTAAAATGCATTCACTACCATGTGTTAGGGATTCTGAACCACTGTATTAATGCTTCCAAAAATCCTTCTGTATCTCAAACATTTGTGAAAATATCCTTCTCTGAAATTTGATTTTAATTTTCTTCAAAATAAGTTCTCAGCAGAAATGAAACTGGCTAGAATTGATTTGAAGGGAATACTAATAACTTGCAAAATGGACATCTTGTATTTAAAGCCCTTACATATTGTTCCTACAAATATATTGCTACAGTAAAAATGAAATGTAATAAGTTTACTCAATAAAATGTAGTTTCCTGTACATTCTTTTGTGTATCTTTTTTCTGTATTTAATGCTACATATATTACATCACTTATCGTTTAACAGTTATGTATCAGCAAATATAGCAGTAATATACAGATGACTTTTGTTTTAAATATTTTACCATTTTCCTACCAAATATAATTCCATATTTTAATATTCACGCATTACCTGAGCATACCAGTCATTAGCCTAATAGTATACACTGGATGACAGTTTCAAACTGCAAGCTACTGTACAGCCAGCCACTTTACAAATGGAATAAATTCCAAGCTCTCCTCTTTCTCGTCTTTTTCCTCTCAAATGCCACTGACTTTTTTTTCTGTAACTGCAGGCTCTAAATATGTTTCTCCCTTAAATATAACATATCAAGAGCTTAGGGAGGTGAACCCTACACAATATATTAAGAACATAAAAAAGTAAAAAATGTACAATCTCATGCTGTATATTTACATAGATTATTGAAATAATAGATTTTGTCTTTCTCTTTGCCATATGTTTCAATCTAAAGCTTTTAATGTATCATATTATAAAATAATACATTCAATGTATCTTGAGCTTGCAAAACTGGTTTTTTTTCTTCCTATAAAAGACAAACAAATGAACAAAAAAAGAAACCCTAACCAAAATAACCCCTGTAATTATCCAAGTGTTGTTTTACCTAACAGGTTAAAAGGAACTAGAGCTCTGCACTCAATGTGCCATTGGTTTGATATTATCAAGTCAAGTGACAATTTGATGCTTAAAATAAGACTGCAGTGAGAGAGCATATTAAAGCATTCATTATCATTAATCAAATGTGCTATTCTGTGATAACCTGTACCATTATTAAGTAGGCCTTCTTTTACGTAAATAACATTATATACTTTAAAACTGGTGGTTGGGAGTTTAGGCAAAAACAGAAATATAGGAAAAATACTGTATTTTCTGGAATCCACCATTCTGGAAAGATGTATATTCTATAAAAGAATTCAAAATAAGCAGCACTCCAAAAATGGAAAATGCAATACTGTGTGTGCAACATGAACATATATAAAGACTGTTATACTTTCTATCATTTTGCATAAAAATATTTCTGTTCTGACATGTACACATCTCTTAAGGGGACATTCAGCAATAAGCTATCTACAAGTAGTTTGGATTTCATACATTTCCTTCTCTCGTTCAGAGTCGGTTCAGAATCAGGTGTCTACATCACATTGTTACAGCCCTAGAGTACAGAGTTAATATCTTTTCTATTATATATATGTATATATATAATATACTTTTTACTTTATAAAATAAGGACATCTCAATTTCTTTAAGACAGAGGCAATGAAGCAAATGGGAATTGCTGTGTGTTCAGAACCAAAAAGCAATTCCCAGTGCAAAAACGATGGAACAAACTATATGGAGAATGGGGTTAGTGGGGAGAGGCTTGGTCTTTAAGTTTGGGCTCTCGATTTAAATAGGTAGCCCAGTACACTAAGTTAAAAATTCCAAAAAGCAATGGAAAGGCTATTCTTGATAGTCGATCAATTTTGCTGACACTGTTAAAAGTTTTCTTGGGTTCTGGAGGTTTTGTTTCAGGTTTACCTTCTTTTGGCTCTATAGTCGCACTTTTAGCAATAGTAGCTAGTCCAGGGTCCCTTGCGATACTAGGGGTAAAGCTGGTTGCTGTCGCTGGTGCTGTGAATGAATTGTTTTTCATAATAAGGGGATCCTTTACTTTCTTTGGCTAGGAATAATAACAAAGACATAGATTTTAGTCCAAGATACCTTTGCATGGATCATCCATTCACAAACCCTACTCTTCTGCGATGTTCCAAATAAAGCAATATCATTATTGAAATTTATTTAAATAATATTAGATTAGATCAAATCTTATTTTCAGTGATTAAGAGTGTTGATGGTTGACTAAGATCTTCCACTTAGGTGGAAAGCCAGTAAGAGCTACCATAGATGCTTTGTGAGGGGACTAAGCCCAGCAGAGTGACACTATTGCAACCCCTAATTCAGTGGCAGGCAATGCCCAAGCCGGGGGCCCCAGTTTCAGCAGTAAGCCACAATGTTGGTCTCAAAAAGCAAAAGGTAGCTTTAAAATGAGTCACAGGCCTTGCTTTACAGCTCAAGTCATCCTCTTTGCATTCGTCACTGCAACCCTCGACACTGAAAGAAATGTTACCCACACTCAAGGACTAGACTGGGCACCCACCATAAGCCTTCCCTCTCAATTTGAGGAAGAGACTTTTCTCAAAGTAAGGCACTGAAGCTGAGGTGGCCCAGAGAGTGCCACCTTCTGAAGGAGGCTTTCTTTCTCTGGGACAAACTGCTAGAAAGCAGATGGAACTCAGTCCAGGTCTTAGCTGTACTGTGGGGAATAAGGAAGCTTTAATGCTTTGCTACCAGCCATGGTGCTATCAGGGGGACAATGATATGCAAGTTCCTTCTGCTGTTGCTTGTATACAAGTCGTTTTTCCAGCTGCTCTTTTTCGTACACATCCGGAAAAATGCATACATAGTGACATCTTTGCAGTTATTGTTGCTTTTACTGCAGAATTCCCTAACCTTGACTATAAACATCATTCTGAAATTGTTAATGATATATTTATTTCTGGTTTGTCACTTCTGATATTTCTTATATTTTCATATGCAATATTTGTTTATTTCCTCAAACATTAAAACCCACATAATAATCACATTGATATTTTTAAGAGGCATGAAAAACAAGTGGAGGAAATAAATCCTTTAGAAATCTTTTGGCATACAAGCCGTGGACTACTTCCATGAAATAGAATAAGCATAGTTAATCCATCTGCCGAGTGTGATCCAAAATCATTGAAGATCAAGAATGCTTTGGTTAGCTGCTCATGATTTGCACTAGTTCAATATTCTAACTTTCCTGTATCGCCTAAGGTTTCTCTTCATAGGGCTGTGCATGACAGAAACGACCTTGTCAGACCAGCATTCTAGTAATCTGGTAAACCTGTCACTGAAATTCAAGGAACATCATAGTAATGATGGCACATAATTCTATTTCAAACTGTTATGGAACTGCACCAGACAGAATAAGGGGCCAAATTCTTGCTCTGCTGATTACCACAAGAAACAAAGCTGTGGTCAGCTCTGCTTTGCATCATTTGAGACATCAGGTGCCACACAGAATCTATGATGCCAATTCCTTCACACTTTTGAAGAGGCCATTTCAGAGCCGGCAGGCCATTCTGGGGTCTACAAGCCACTCTGGATGATCAGATGATGACAGTGATGATCTAACCCAGAACACATGTGTTCTGCCATCTGCCAGATATTTTGGAGCCAGGCCCAGTAATTTCTTCTTGAAAATGCTTCATGCTAGCTGGGACTTTACCTGCCTCTGTCTCTTTCATGCATGCACACACACACACTTAGTCACTCACTCTGCTTAGCCTTTCCCCAACACTGAGGGAAAAGGCTGAGAGGTCTGAAATCACACATGCATATACAATACAACTGGACTGGACTGCTGAATAGTATGCTGCTGAATGTGAAAGTCTTCCTGTGAGGTGATAGTAACAGGCAATATGAAAGCTTTCTGACAGGGAAGCTGGAGACATCTGCAATGCGTTCAAATGAGGTCAGATACATAGGAATCCAAACTGATTTGTATTCACTGCAGTTTTCCCCACTGTTTCACACCAGACTAGCTTTTTCCAAGTCATGTGAATTCCATGGACTTGTGAACTGGCTGGGAGGAATTAGTGATAGCTCGCATTAACTGGTGCAAATAAACCACATAATACACATAAAGCAACATTTTGGTTTAAAAAGTATTGGATTCCATCAATGAATAGATGATAGAATGAACAATGCCTAACAATCTGCAAAATACAGATGGAATTAATTTAACGAAATACACACGTACAAACAATGATTTAATAGTCACCAAGTGATTAACATGGATGTGTGAATTTGCCCTTCAGCTTCTATCTGTAAAAGAGCTGACAATAATCCCAAGTTTCAGTGCAGATTTAAATGTTTGTAATTAGTTAATAAACTAAATCTTACTTAGTATGAACTGCCAACATCTGGAATCTATCATAACCATTTTTGAAAGTTAACAAAATGTATTTCTGAGATTGTCAGCATAAAGTATTTCATTACATACAAATGCAAGTATGGCAACAGGCAAATAGAAACTTTTCAATAAGCATGTATAGGATCAGATCATGAAAGGGGAATATAGATGTAATAAATAATAAATAGACTGCAAATCCAGATACTTGGGCTTAGTAGGACCATGATGTCCATGCCATATTTAAAGCATCACGGGAATATTTAGATCATTACCTTTTCAGGAACAACACTCTTGCCATCCCATGCATAACCTCTCTTTGTGAAGTAGTTCACAGTTGCAAATTCAATCAGTGCTGAGAAAACAAATGCGTAGCACACAGCTATGAACCAATCCATAGCAGTGGCATAGGCCACCTTCGGGAGAGAATTCCGAGCGCTGATGCTCAAGGTGGTCATCGTTAGCACAGTTGTCACCCCTGTGAAGCAAAACAACAGGACTTCAGAGTCTATTCAGTCCTGCCTCTACTTCACGGCACAAACGCAATTTTGCCTTTTTTATATAAGCTATGCTATTTGTGCATTCAGAATCCAAAGGGCTACTTTAGGATGCATGTCTAATATTATGTGAATTTAGACAGGAAAAAGCCTACAGATGGGGCATGCTAGGAGTGCTAAACTTGTTTAAGATTGTGCCATAAGAGACACAGCTCCTTAAGAAGCAGTATTGATTGGGGGGGCAAAAGAAAGGAACAGACATTGCAAAATTTCTGCTCTCAACAAGTGAGAATTCTTATGCTTCTCTACATATTCACAGCACGATCTTGTGCATATTTTCTCAAAATTAAGTTCCGCTGTCTTGAAAGGCACTTACTTCCATGTATGCGAAGCCTTTGATCTTAGAGTAACCTTCCCTGATTCATAATAGCCCTCGTCTCCCATGCTTTCCATCCTCAGTACATAGTGGCAATGAGAGAGAAGCTAAAACAGCATCTAAAGGAAACTGGAACTGACTAAGAAGTGCAAGCAGGGTTGAGGTAAGTGGGCAATGGGACACAGCCCACAGATAAATGGCAGATATTGCAAAACTTTTAATCATTTAGCTTAATAATTTTTATACATACTACTTGGGGCATCACTTTGATTTTCTGTCTCAGGCACCAGAAAGTCTTAGGCGGTTTAGTCCTGATTATAAACCAACTACTTATTGGAGAAGAATTGGAATTATACTGATGTCTCTACTGGATAACCACTTGAAAGTGAAATTGAGGGATCTTTCTGAATTTGATCTTACATTTCTGTACCAACATTTTCAAGCTGTATTCCATTGATTAAAGAGGCCAGAGCTAAGGAAAAGGGGAGACGGCACGTTGGTAATATACTTTGCATTTTGAGTAGTTCTGTTCCTCACCTGCCACTGAACAATTTTCTTTTAACCAAGCTTTTATTGAGAGGAAGAGGTCTGCGTATCTGTTACATTGCTTACCATTGCGTTAAATCACATACTCACCAGTTACCTTGACAACCCAAGACATTGCAAATATTAAATCTCTGCTACATTATATTTCTACTGTGCCAAGTGTTAGCCAAAACACACAGCAATCAGAAATATCGTTCACTATCCATAGTCAGATGAATTATTTATTGGTGAGGAGGGAAAATAATCTGGCCTGTCAATGATCAGTCATCCTTATCCTGAAATGGATCCGAATGCAGCACAATTTATGGAGGAAAACTGACTGAGGTTGAAGTCCTGCCCAATAGATAAGCAGTTTAATTAACCCTGCAGTTTCATCCTAATTGATCCATCTCAGCTATTTTTCCATTCCCAGGTGACTCACACACACACACACACACACACACACACCCCTTGAATTTGGGCCAAAAAAAAATCTAAGAGACCTGCCCAGAAATGAATTGAATTAGCTTGCTTTTAAACAGTCCTGAGAGGTTACAGGGATCCTGTGTTTACAGGATCCTGTGTGGGGGCCCAAGCACAAGAGGCAGACCCAAGTGGATGCCTTAAGCACTTTTGCACCTATTAATGTTGCATTTAGAATCATAGAATAGCAGAGCTGGAGCGGGCCTGTAAAGCCATCAGTTCAAGTCCATGCTCACTGCAGGATGTCAGGTCAAATCATCCCTGAGAAGAGGCTGCCCAATTGCCTCTTTGGTGCCTCAAGTGTGGGAGAGTCCACAACCTCCCCAGGTGATGGCTCCCATTGCAGTGCTGCTGCAACCATCAGGAAATTTATCCTGATGTCCAGCTGGAATCTACCTTCCTGTAACTTGAGCCCATTATTCCATGTCCTGCACTCTTGGGAATAGGGATTTATATCGGGCTTTTTCCTCCAAGGAGCCCCAGACAGCTTGCATCATCCAACTCCTTTTCATTTTCTCTTCTCAACACTCCTGTGAAGTAAGATAAGCTGAAAGTCCATGACTGGCCCGAAGTCACCCAGGGAGCTTCAGCTTCATGGCTGAGTGGGGACTGGAGCCCAGGTCTCTGGAGTCCCAGCCCAACACTCTCATTGCAACACCAGGCTAACTCAGCAGCACAGCAGGGCTTGGCTCTGCAAGAGTCCCTCTACACCCATTAAGACCAGGCGGTAGAAACAGGACAAAGAGTCTCTGCCCTTACTGTTATTTTGGGCCTGCTTTTCTGTAACTCTCCTCTATTTTTTGAGCATGCCATCTCTGCCTTAACAGTTGTTACCACAGAGATATAAATGAGACATCAAATTTAAAAAATGAACTGCAGAAATGAAATGGCTTTGAGCTTTATTCAGTTACGGTGGTAGGAATTCCAGTGTCTGAAGTAAGCATAAAACTGGATTCCGGTGCTAGTCTTATTCCGTTACTTTACTCGCTGGGGGGAGGGGGCTGTGCATGCCATTTCTGCCTCCATTTTATGTCCTCTGCTGGCCTGCCCCCCTCACTAAGCACATGTTCACTAGCCCGGCCCCTCGCCTTCCACTAACCCATCCTACTCGCTAGGCCCATAGGCCTGCCAAAGAGCCATAGCCTGTCCCTGTGATGAGGAAACCTCTGCTCATGCCTCCAGTGCGCTCTTCCTCTGTGCCAAAGTCCCCAGTGCTAGACCACATAGAATAGGACAGCAGGAAATGCAGGGATGGGACTAGCAAATAGGGCCCCACCTTCTCTCTCTCTCTCTCTACAGGGCCATAAGTAGGGCCACCAACTATTACTGGTTTATCGTGAACCCTGCCTTACCCCCAGCTTTCCTACACTGTGCTAGCAATAGCAAAGCCCTGTAATCTGGTCATCACGTAAAGCTTCTACGCCACAGAATGGATGCTTCTGGATATTCGAAATGGCTCTGTACTTACCAAACACAGTTCTTGCTGGGACAGATTCTCTGTTGAGCCAAAAAGAGACCTGGGACAGAATCACTGTCATAATGCATGGCAGGTATGTCTGAATGACAAAGTAACCAATCTTTCTTTTCAGATGGAACTGTGTCGTCATCACAACATATTCTCCTAAACACAAGAGGCAGAGGAAATGAAATGAACCCAGAAATGAAATGTCAGTGCAGATAAATAGATTGGATCAAATACTACTAATCATTCAGAAACTATTATAATTTTTTCAGTGTATGTGTGTCTATATATATACTTTATAAACTGAATTATAAAATAATTTAACAATGTTCATCTAAACAAGAAAAAGTGAGCTGAGTTCTCATGTAATACTAGTAGAGTCTAATCATTTTTGATAACTTGTGCAAAACAGTGTTTTCCAGAAATTAAACAAGCATCTCATTTAACATCCTGAAAAGATCAAATGCCTTTGCAAGCATGTACAGTGTGGGGTCTACTAATATGGCATTACAGTCAGTACTGACCAGAATGAGGCAAAATGTCAGGAGAGAAATGAGCAGGCTGAAATCAAAGGAGACCCTCTTCCAAAGTTAGAGATTGCATCTAAGATAGGTCTGAGATGGAGACTTTAAAAAAATTATACCCTCAGTTCAATTCTATTCAGTGGGAGCAAGAAAAAAAAGTATCCCTGGAAGTAGCTGACCATTTCTAAGACTATCGAAAGCACACCTCAACGTATGGGCTCACAAAGCTCCCTACAGTAAGTGTTTAGTGTCCTATGGCAAGTAGGGTGAGCAACTCCTCCGTCTTTGCTGGACCTTCCTGCATTAGAGTAGGAAAGGCATACGGATGAGGATCTATTGGACTCCACTGCTCAAAGACACACTGTCCTGGCCTAGCTCCCAGCCACCCCACCAGGCCTTCCTTTTGGGCGAGGGACTGGCCTCCATCCACAGAAAGTGTTTCATGTGTCTCTGGAAGCAGTTCCTTCCACCTGAATGTTTCAGCAGGAAAAAAGCAGGTAAAGAGCACTGCGAAATGCTCCTTCCTGTTGAATTGTGGACTGCCTTTTCCTTGGGAAAGGCTGAGTGAAGGGAAGCACACCCTGAGGTTTTGTTCCTCCTGCTTCTGCACCTGCCAGGCAATTGGAGCTCCAACCCAACAGACAGAGAAATGAAAAAAGTCAGCAAACCCCTGTCATTCTTCACCTGACTTGGAATGAAAAATGGAGAAGAAATGAGACCTTGCATGAATCATGGTTTACATTGGAATACTGAGGCATTTGGAGGTTAGGATATGGCCAAAGTGTTAGCAGTCCCAAGTACCACAGCTCTGAATGCTGCGACAACCTCACATTACCAAGTAGGAATTGAGATTTTTGTAACTTCAGACAGGGGTGAGTAACTTGTAGCCATTTGGATGTTTTGACCTACAAACCGTTTCATGCCTCGCCATTGTCTATGCTAGCTAGGACTGATGGGAATTTTAGGACAAAAAACTGGAGGACCGTAAGTCGTGCACCCTTGCTTTAGATACAAAAAGACCAGTGTTGCCAAACTCTGTCCTGCTTGTCTCCCAAAAGATGCCTCGGTGATGAAACGCATCAAGTTCTGTCCAAATAAATGTCTCTCTCAGTCTTGATCCAAGTCAGTGGCATTTGTTTGGTGGCACTTTGTGCAGCCTCACTGACCTGAATGGAAGTTGTGCAAGAGCAGTGAGTTGTGAAAGATTGATATTTATATTATATGAAAGTACCCTTCATATAACAGCTTTTAAAAGCTGGTAAGGGTTGTCCTTCCTGCCACTCTCCCATCTGGTACACAATTCATTTTAAGGTCAGTTGTTCAAATTGCACAGATCCAGTACAGGATGTTAGGGACATGCGCAATGCCTATATGTTTCTTTTTTTTCCCCTCCCCCTGGGTTTTTTCTTACCATAGTTCCTGAAATATATGAAAATGTTTAATAATGCACTTATTTCGTTGGTTTATCTGTAAAATACTGCACCCCCTTTTAACAGTTACAACCCTCATGTCAATTAAATTAAAACCAAACAGGATTAAATTCAAGAATCCTAGTTTATGAGGATTATGCATTCTGAATATATATGTAGGCTGCACATGGATACATCAGTGTCAGTTATAATAAATAATGGGGATAAACAAAGATGTATTTGTATGAGGATTCCCTAGGTAGAAAATTTACATTGCCAGGATGGTACACTCTGCACAGATGTGGCAAGTTTGGAAGTCCTGTGCACAGACTGTGATCATGCTGCCAGTCAAAGTGCAAGCAACCCAAAACTGCTCTGCTCTGCCTCTCTACCGAATCAGCAGCAGCCCCAGGAATTTAAGCTGCACAAGACCATGGAATAGCTCTTGTGCAAGAGAAGTTCCAAGTGGATTGGTAAGCATTGCTACATGTACTATCTAGCCCAAACTCTTAAGCAGAGCTATTTCTGCAATTTAAAAGATGGAATCATATTTGTGCCAAGAACCTCATCTTTTGCAGTATCATTCTTTGGTACGTTTACATGCACAGAGAGAGAAGGAGAGATTTTCATATATTTCAATTCACATCGTTTCAATTTCAAAAAGCTTGGTTTTTCTTTATTCTTTCATTCTCTGCATCATCTCTGCAGTGCTTTACATATACTTCAAACGAGAACATTCCTGGCCCTTCAAAAGTATCCAGTCTCCATTGTGAATAGTTGGTTGACTTAATAACAATAATAGCAATCCTCCTCATTATTATTCTTTGAGGTATAATCTTTGATATTATTCCTATTATTCCCTCCTTGATACATATACTTCGCTGTTTGGGGTTTTTGTTTTACTGTTCTGTGCAAACATCTTGTGCAGAACGTGGCACTAATCATAAATAACAGTACCAGTGTCTTTTAAGCCATTATGTTAATTTTGTTTTGATATCTTTGCAAACTAGGATTCCTTATTTTTTTCTGGTTCTTTTTTGATAGCATTGACAAAATGTTGTGAATAGTGACTTGAATGTTAACCATGTTCTTTCTGTTAAGACTGTGTTTCTGTTTGGAAAGCAAATAGCTGGATCTGTAAATGCTCCCTCCTATCCTGCTTCTTTGGGTGGAAATAACGGCTTGTTTGCAAATTTCTGAAGATGCAGCCAGCCGGGTAGACTACATTCAGCTCACACTCTCTTAGATGCTTATTTAGTTCCCGATTGACATAGAAAGTGTGAACAAGGAGAAAGGGGGAATATATTACAATGGCTGGAGCGACAAACTCAACTCTGTAATAGCATAGCTGCTTCCTGTAATGGGGTAAATTAATTAAGGGTATTGACAATTCAATTGAAGCAGTGGATTGAGCTCTTCTTGAAGCCCCTCTTCCACTGTGTCTCACTTTTAAGGTCCGGCCTCTTTTTCTTCCAGATATGAGCAAAGAAACAAATGTGTTTGCTTTGATAACCTAACCCAGTGGAGGGGAATCTATGGCGCGTGTGCCGCAATGGGCATGCAGAGCCCTTTCTGTCTGCACTTGAGTCAAGTCGCCCCAGCATCGCCCCAGCAGCCGAGCATTGGATAACAGCAGATCTAGGGGCCGTGCGCATGCTCCAAAAGGAGTAGCGGTGCCAGACAATGACATCACGAGCCATGACTCATTAGCTGCAACTTGTCCGAGCTTTCGCATGGCTAATTAGTGTGCTGCCAAGTGTGTGTGTGTGTGTGTGTGTGTGTGTGTGTGTGTTTGCTTGGACTGGCTGTGAGTTGTTTTTTTTCTAAATTAAATCCTCAGTATTCAGGTTTTATTGCAGTGTTGGCACTTTGCAATCAATAAGTGGGTTTTGGGTTGCAGTTTGGGCACTCGGACTCTAAAAGGTTCACCATCACTGACCTAGGCTTTAAACACTCACAGAATGCAACAGCAACCTTCCATGGAGTTCTGTTTGTTTATATATGTGCATTCACACAAATGCTCAGACTTGAATCCCTTAAAGAGTGTGGGCTCATTCCCAAGAAAATTGCATTGAACAACCATATGAGCATATCATGTTCTGCATGATGTACACAACTCTTGCAATTGGTGAGGTGGGGAGACTTCAAAGAACAAAGGAGTTTCTTTTTACTGCTTTAAGAAGGATGAACCTTTAAAACAACCCAGGAATTAGCTGATCCTAGTGTTTCTGAGTATTTTGGCAAGGCACACTAGTACTGCCACAGAAGCAGAAGACCAAGGATCAGCAGAAGAGCTATAGCAGAAGACTGCACTAGTATTGGGGTGAGAGACTGATGCCAAGAGTGAAGAGCTATATTCCCACACATATGCATTGTGTTAACAGCTCAGGGCCAGGCTATTTTAGAGATGGCCTGACTTTTCTGCCTTTTCAGTTGCTGCACTCATTAGGAGATACCTCCTGTATATAGAAGACATGATTACCTATCTGAGAAACTTTCAGCAAAAGTATGCATACAGTCATAATATGCAGTATTTAATTATGATCTTATTCCATATTGATTGTACATTACTTAGATATTCTAATCTAGAGGATTCATAAATATCATTAAATAAGCCAAATACTACAAATATAACTGACAATGATTCACAGAAGCAGTAAACAGAAACACAACATAAAATCACCTTGCTTAACAGGTTAGTATTCTCTCCACCCATCCATTGATACCTGAGTAAACTATACTTGATCTGGAGATTGAGAAATAATTGTACGTTTGCTCTGTGGAAAAGTTGAGGCTGCATCTAAATGTGCTGCCCATTAATTCAAGGAAAGCTTCCATAAAAGAGAAATCTAGTAGGCAGGTGACACCATTTTTGCAGCAGAAACTCTCCAGTCAAGTACCCTCTGAACACCAGGAAAGGTATCTGAGAAGACATTTGCAGGGGCAACTTTCAGGTTATGAATTCCTACCTGCACTTCAAAGTCCAGTTGAGTGTGGCCAATACCAAAAAATTAAGCACATGTTTCCTGCCTTCTCCCTGAAATGGGACTCAAGCTAGTGTTAAAGTAGCACTTTCTTTGAGCAATTTTGTGGGAAAACAGTACAGGCCCAAAAGCGTTTACATGTCTACTATGAGTGCAAGGGAACCATTGTCCTCATTCTAGAATAGCTTTGTTTGCTTTTAGGGATGTCATTGCACAGCCAAATCTGATTTTCTAGATGTTATTATATCCTGGAAGAAGAAAACTGAAGGCCAAACTAGATGAGAATGAGAATGGAAGCTCCGTGTGTCTAAAAGGAAGCCTATTTCAGTCATAGACAGAAGCCGATAGGCTGGTAAGGGAAACTGAACCCTCCCTCAGGTACAGTTTACTTTCTCACAACCCATTATCCCAAGGACTTTATTTATAAACATTATACACTGCTCCATAATCCAGTACGGAAATTTCACAATGGTGTAGAGTAAAAGGTAAAACACATAAATGAATAAATCAATAGGTCAAAAACCAATTAACGAACCCATTACTGATTAGTTCAGGAAGCCTTCCTGAAATGTGTTTTCAGGAGGTGTCAAAAGCAATACAGTGTTGGTGCTTGCCCTACCTGCAGAGGCAGGGAGCTCCAGAGAAATGGAGCTGCAATGCTGAAGGCTCTTCTCCAGGTAGACTCCATTTGGACCATAGGTCAATATGGAACCAGCAGGAGCCAGTCATCAGATGACTTCAGTGACTGAGCAGTTGGTAAGGGAGAAGGTGTTCTCTCACATATCTGGGTCCTGACTTGTCAAAGGCTTAATACACTAGTACCAACACCTAAACCTGAGATATTCATGCATATGCAGTCAGGGCAGTTCCTTCAGCAAAGGAGTTGCATGGTGACAGACCTGACAACAACAGAGCTGCTGCATTCTCTACTAGCTCCAGCTTCCGAGCCCACATTTTGCCCAGCAGAAGCACTTAAAAGACATTTGGATGATTTTAGGATAAAACTGGTTTTATATTAAAGATTAGGCTTTAGGAATGGGAAGGAGATGGATCTCTCAAGATAGGTAGCCCCAAAGCTTGGACACCACTGCAGAAGGCTTTCTCACAGCTTCCCACAAACCATACCACAGAAGGAACTGAGAGATGCAAAAGGGTTTCATAGAGAACATTATATGCCAGAGCTGAAAAAATTCTTCTGAGTCCCAGTTATTTTCCAGGCATAATTGAAAGTATTGAATCTTAAAAACTCAAATATATGTCTATGGATGTTGATTGCTGCCCAAATTTTAATGAAGGTTTGATGGCTATATCAGGTAAAGACAATATTATAGATTTCAACTTCAACAATCCGTATCTACAATTCTGCCTGGACATTATGGGGGCTGTAGTGCAAAATATCTGGAGGATCTTATTTCTAAGAGCACAGAGCACACATCTGAGGAATAAAATTCATCCCACGGGACATTTTACCCAAATATTTTATTCTATAACTATAGCTGTTCTATGGAGAAATGTCATGCTTATTACCTACCTGTACTGGACTGCACTATTCCAGAGTCTACAGTTTGACCCATGAGATCATATTGGTTCAGTCGAGAACCATCATCAGCAACTACAACAGACTGTGCAGGCTCCCGTGTCCATTCATACATTACTTCTGATTTTGTATAAGCATCTAATTGGGAGGAAAGAAGTCATTTTCAAAAGCAGCCAAAAATAACAATCAGCTATTTCATTGCTGATCATGGTAGTTGCTTCCACACCCTTTGGTCCAGTGAAACAATAATTCTTCTGGTCTTCCAGCAACAACTCAGTGAGCAAAAAGGCAGAATAGCACGTGTCATTTAATGTTCCTTTTTTGGGGATCTTACCATAACCCATAAAAAAACAGAAATACTGAAAAGCACTGGATATTTGAATATTTTAAGAATGTTCTAAAATCACTGCAATCTTTCAAGACCCAACATTTCAGAAGATTTTGCCAGTGCATCAACCTTAAATGCCATTTCTCCCAATTATTTTTCTGACCAGTTGCATAAAAGCCCCTGCCACACTGATCCATTCACATGTTGTCAAGCATAGATTCAAACCCAAGGATGCTTATCTTCCCAAGAACCCAGCACTCCGAGTTCGTAACTCAAGGTAAACAACCCAGGAATGGAGTGTCCCTGCATTGTTCATCACAGCATGAGTGGGCTGCTGGAACCAGCACGAGTGCCTGCTCCTGGCCATTCACAACTAACCATAGTTTAAACAACCCACGGGCAGTTGTAATATGTGAACTGAGTCACTGTCTTGTTGCACAACCAAATGTACACCAAACTGCACAGATGCTGGTGTAAGAATGCCCTCTTTTCAAGGGGATTTATAGGGAAAGATTCCCAGCAGATTTAACGCTTATTTTGATCCTCTCGCTTACAAAAAAAGACAACTTTCATTTTGTCCTTAAAAAATTCTTGTTCATTCCTGAACATTATGAAAACAGCTACGAACAAAAGGAAATAATGGGGTCTGCTTAATCAATGATGCTTGAAATAATTTATCATCACCGAGAACTCTTTGCTTGTATGAGTCAAGTTGGATTTTCTCTGATAAAACGTAGCTGCAGTCAAGCAGAATAGGAAGCCTCTATATGCCATGATATCATAGCATTATCTTTATGTCTGTTCCCCTTCTTTGGCTAATGCTTGTGCCAGAGATCAGATTACATTTATTCATGTAGAAAATCTTCATTTAAAAAACTGCAGAGATTGGAGAAATGTGTGCATGTGAGCACACACGCATGCACACACACGTATGCACACACACACACACACACACACACATGCACACACCATCCCAGGCTCTTTGATAGCCTGTTCTAACTGTTAAGCAATCTGTGGAAAAGGGCAGGGAATGATTGTTAAAGTCAACTTACAGCTTCCAAATTTCAATGGGCAAGCATGTGCATCCATGGGAAAGTCTTCTAAATGCATTGGACATTCTGCTCTCACTGTGAGTCTACAAGGGGGTCATAAGCAATATAACAGTTTTAGGAGGAAATAATAACTCTAATTCAAATTATAATAAAATGCATGCATTCCATTGCAGTTTGGTTAATGTACTATATCAAATGATCATTTGCACAAGCTTACCACTGAAGTACTTTTGCTCACTTGTCCTAAAAGCCCATTTTTAAGCTCTTTGCTCACCCTTCTAATATCACCTTGCAAGTGCCTTCATCCATGCCAGTAATATTTCCTTTTCACCTATTGTTATGTCTTCTGTAGTTTTACATTTGCTCTGTGACCTCTATTAATTAAAACATTCAATTTCTGAACTAGAATGGCAAGACAGAAATTGAAAATCAGCTAATAAAAAGTCTCAGGTTCCAGTGATGCTTTTTGTATTAAAGGTCAGTCTGCAACACACTTACTCCCATGCTCACTTCAGTAGGACTACTCTGGGACAAAGGGATCCCAAGGTGTGATTCTAGAAAAGATGACCAGATGGGCACCTGTGTGGAGTTTCCCCTTATTCAACAGACGGCATCAAATGACTGTCACCTTCAGGAAGGAAATTTTGGAATACACAGATCTTTGTAGACTAAGAAAAATGTCCTTTATTTTTCTTACTGTTCCTTCTCCAAGACCAGCCTATCTTCCTTAGAGGGATCAAGTCGATAGGTTAGGAGTTAGCTCCTTGACCTTACACCAGTCTGGACCTCCCTGTGTGCTGGTGGTGGCAAGGAAAAGAGCCAGTGTGGTGTAGTGCTTAAGAGTGAGGCCTGGAACTCGGGTGATCCGGGTTCTAGAGCCCACTCAGCCATGGAGCGCACTGGGTGGCGTTAGGCCTCTAGTCAGACTCTTACAGGGTTGTTGTTGTTGTTGTTAGGATAAGATTATGAGGAGCAAGAGAATTATGTAAGCCTCCTTGAGTTCCTTGGAAGGAGAAAAGGTGGGATGTAAGTATAATAAATAATAAAAATTTGCAAGCTTAGATTATGCCAGCTGCCTTCTTCCTGACTTGGCCTGTCCATGCCTTGGTTATATCATAATTAAACTACTGTGAAAATCTCTACTCTGAAGAGTGTCTGGAACCTTCAACATGCAAAATGTGGCAGGAAGGCTGCTAACAGGCTCACAGTACCGAGATGACCTTACAGCTGCCTTGAAAGACCTGTGCTGGTTCCTTGCTTAACGCAAAGTCTTCCTGGCTATCTATAGGACTGCCTATCTCACTCCAAACATGCCTCAGTATTAAGAAACTTTGAGGGCACCATCACACACACAGACCCATTTGTCAGGCACATGTGAAGGAATTTTCTCCTGAGCTGCCCCCAAATATGGAATGCCCTCAGTCAACACTTAAGATTGCTCCAATTCTTTTGGCCTCAAGAAAGGGAATAGAGATGCATCTTTCAATTCAGCATTTAAAATCCATCATTTTAATCTTTCAATGTGTTTTTGTTGCAGTGCACTATTATAATATAATACAATATATTACATTTATATCCCACCTTTCTTCCTCTTGAAAGGAACCCAAGGCAACTTACAAGCTTCTCCTCCTCAACAGTGTAGCCACAGAATAACAACTCTGTGATGTAAGTTAGGCATGACTGGCCCAAGGTCACCCAGGGAGTTTCATGGCTGAATGGGGACTAGAACTCAGATCTCCCAAGTTCCATCCAGAGCTCTAACCACTAGAACACACTGGGTCTATGTTATATATCGTTTCACAGACTCACAGAATACTGGAGTTGGAAGGGGCCTTGAAGGCCATCAGGTCCATCTCACTGCTGTTGGAGGACAGCAAGTTGCACCATCCCACTCAGATGGCTGTGCAGTTTCTTTTGGAATGTGTCTAGTGTGGGAGAGCCCACCACCTCTCTAGGCAGCCGGTCCCATTGCCATACTGCTCTGACAGTGGTGCAGCTTTTCCTGATGTACAGCCTGAATCTGGGTTGTTGCAGCTTGGATTGATTATTCCGTGTCCTACTCTGGCATCACCAAGAAGAGATCTTGACCTTCCTCTTTGTGACAGCCTTTGAGCTACTTATAGAGGGATATCATCTCCGCCCGCCCCCCCACAATCTTCTCTTCTCAAGCCTGAACATGCCCAGTTCTCTTTCATTGTTTTCATTTATAATGTACTGCCTTGATGGGCTTTAAGTAGATGAACAGTATATACAAGTTAACAATAAACAGCAAAATATAAACAACCCTATGAGGTAGCATTGTTAGGTTAAGAGTTAGTGACTGGCCCATCGTCACTCCAACCACCACTTCATGCTGCTGGTCTGAGAGAAGAACCTGGCCACTTTGTAGAAAGGCATTCTCATGCTGTAGCTGAGCTTTGCAGAGATATAGACAATTGCTCCTTTTTTCCCCTGATATTGGGGTCAGCCAAGCAGGCTGGAATTGCCTGCACTCTCACCACAGCTATGCGCAACCAGTGAGCAGTTTATCTACACCGGATCTGTGAAACGAGCACAAGCGTGTTCCATCTGCCCCTCTAAGCACAGTGTTGGGATGTAAATGGGGCAGAGCCCTACTGGACATGCATAGGATTCTACAGTACTCCATAATGCAGATCACCATCTATGCTGCAGCAAGCGCAGTTCCTCCATAAGAGTGGCCTTGACAGACTAATCCTCAAGTCTGCTAAAAGCGAATTATGAAGCCTTTTGTGTATCTGAAAGAATTCAGTAGACCAAGTAAGCTTAGAAGTCATGAAGTGAAGAGAGATAAGCAAAAAGAGGAAGAAACACTATCATAGAGAACATTTAATGCATCTTTTTTTTAACCATGTACACATCATTGTATTATCTAAATTCTAAATATAAAACTCTAAACAAAGACTGAGGAATAACTAGTAATTGCTCATAAACATAATTACACAGTGCTGTTTCATAAATGAAAAGGCACCATGTTGTGATGCTCACCTCATTGTATAGAGCAGTGTCCCATCTTCTGTAATCCGCAAGAGTTTGTTAGGCATCGTCATGTTGTGAGCTACTGATTTCTTCCCATTATGGAAAAATGTATCAGGTGTCCATATTTTGCTGGCCATTAAATTATTAAGTCGGAGGACCTGCATGGGTCCTTTGAACTTCAGTCTTTCATCCTTCCAGCTTTGCCGGAAAAATACATCTATTGTGTATTCCTAAAATTAGACAATGCAGAGCTCTGAATATAGTTCATTTGACAATGGGAACATGAAAGGCGAGGCCTCAACATCAATGCGGAACTTAAAAGTACCCTAAGCCTGCATTCCTTTTGTTTGCTTTATCATTGGGACGGTAATCAAGGGGAAGACGGAAAATGCAAGTGGTGGTTGAGGTGGCCACATATCTTACCTTGCAGAAGGAGCCCTCTACTTGGGGGTCTCCTCGCTTTCAGGGATGGACAACTTGTGGCTCTCCAGACATTTTGTCCAGCAATTCCCATTGTTCCTCATCGTGGGCTAAGTGCAATGTGGGCCAAAACATTTAGAAGGTGACAATTTGCACACCCCTGCATTAAAAGGGCTGGTTTAAAGATTAAGAATAGTAAGATGGGGGACTCGAAGTTGCCATCCACAGATAGCTCTTTGTATATGGCTGTGTCTACCAGTATATGCAAACATTATGTAGAACCATGTTCTCCTTTTGTTCTTTATAGTGATGTATTTCTTCTATGTTGGCAATATCTAATGGTGGTGGCAAAGAATTGCACAGATCAAGAAATAAGTTGAAGAACTAAGAGAACACCTTTGTAGGAACTTGTGAGAAGGAACTGGAACTCTGCCTTAAAATTGTATATTTATATCCTGCTTTTTGCCACACCTGCCTTCACAGAGGAGTCTCTGAAACCCAAAATTGATTCTGAGAGGATGTTGTTCATCCTGTCATCTGCACTTCAACCCATAGAGACTATTCAAGAACAGCAAGCTTATTTATTTGCATTAAACAGCAATGAATCCCACAGGAAATAAGGTTGTCCTTCAGAGACAACCAAGAGATTCTTACCACCTGGAAACCAACAGCCCAAGTACATCTGTAACTTCAAGCATTAAAAGACAATGTCAGGCGCCAGATCTAATTATGAAAATTCAACTGTTTCCCTAACTAATTTTAAAGGGTTTATCTCCTCTCCCCAAATAGGGGTGTAATAACTTGATTCTAAGGAGGGAGAGCCATAAAAGAAACATCAACTGCAATGTATCCATTACATTATGTAAGGCAGTCAAAAACTACCCAAAAGGTGACAGTCTGAGCTATTATACTATTGAAGTACATTGAACTATTGAATAGTATATTATACTATTGATCATTAAAGAGTGTGAGAAGTTCTCTGTAGACAACATTGTTATCCACATATCCATATTTATGTCTGTTGGCCTACCTTTTCAATGTACCTAATAATAACAAATGCAATCACTGGACATCACATATGCTTACACATGTATGTGTGTAGATTGGACATGCAGAAAAACATTGTGTAGCTCATTCTACATGTGTTGCAGTTTATGCATATTTGGTTTAGTATAATGACTAGTAAAAATTTAGTATAATTTTTAATTGCAATCTGGGTGTGCCAAGGTGAGAGGGTAATGGGTACAAATATAATATTTCACAGAATTGATAACAATAGTATCAGTCTAGGAGGAAATGGGCAAGGAGAAAGAAAAGCAATTCACTCAAGCAAAGTAAAAGGGAATTCTTCAGATCTTTTCACAAGCCCTTCTCCTGCCCACCCAAAAAAGTCATAAATGGAGCAAGGCTTCCATTCCCAAAGCGCTCTAACCATGCTCATGCTCTTTATATTTCAAGGTTCCCAAATATTTAGAAATTAGCTCTGCAGCTCTCAAAAGAAAATGGCTGCACAGCTGGTACATCTTACTCAGAAATTATATATATTACATATACATAATTTACTATATATAGCAAAACTGCATCCACCTGAGAAAAGAGAAAAGGTAGATTCATGGACAGAAGATACGAAGAAACAGCCTAACAAACTTTAGCAGTCCTCTTAAATTCTTCATTTATTATTAATTAGATTGTATAATGGCATGTGGACTCATCAATATTTATCACTTAAGAGTGCTTGCTTGGGCTTAAAACAATGCTCCATTGCAGCTTAACACAAGTTGCAGCAAGCCAAAATGCACATTGAATGTCTTCAGATGCATTCTGGGGTTTGAGGTTTGCTTAAGCCTTCAGATAACAGACTGGCTGGACAAACATTGCAACACTCGAGTGGGCAGGCTCCAGATTGACCTTACAAAACGCTTGCAGGAAATAACGTTTTTTTGGAATCAAACTGAATAAGTGGAAAACCACTCCTCCAGATGAGATATGTGCTTAAAATGGGAAGATCTGTACTCTATCATATCAGTAACTGTTCAGAGAATAGCCTGATTAATTCACTAAGATATGGTTTATGGTCCTCCACATTCAGGAACTGGTTTACTGGAGGTCCCAAATACCCTCTTCTCCACTTTCTCCTTCAAATGACCCATTCACATGGTAATAATCTCATCACAGGCAAAGCATCCCTTCTATTTACTACCGCTGCTCCATGTTAGAGAAACTGGTACTGACTGAGCAAGCCAAATGTTCAAAGCATTTCAAATGCATTAAATTGTCTAGGGGTGGCATGGAAGCTGAATGCATAAGTTTACTTAAATATGGAAAAATGTGAAAGTAGTATACTTGTGGAAATCACGTCGGGCAGAAGTCTAAGTGGTGATAGGATAGTGCAAATGTCCACAGCCTTTCCAAGCTTAAGAGAGTTTACGGAATTGAAAGAAGATAAGTCATCACTTACCATATCATGGTCTGAAACGGGCCCAAAGCTGGTGACAAAGATGTCAGTCTTCACTTCAGTTACACGCTCTGATGAAGTAGGAAATTAGAGAGTGAGCACCTACCCGCAGCTTTCCTTAGAACCAAGCACCAAAAACAGAGTCTGCATTGACTTTGACTGGATGTTCTCGAATTAGAGGAGTGGCTAATTAGGTCAATGGCAGAGCATCTACCTTGTACCTGGAAGGTCTCAGGTTCAACTTCCTTTTCCTTGGAAAGATGAAGCAATTGTCTGAGGCAGTAGAAGGGAGCTGCTAGGTTCACAGTAAGGATGTGCTAAATTAGATTTGCAACCCCCCCCCCATGCATATCCTGTGTGCATCTGCAACCAAATGATCCTCAGCCTGCCCTCCTCATCAGGGGGAGGCCCCACAAAGCCCTCAAACTGCACCTTCAGTACAATTTGCTGGTCTTGGGAGTAGTTTCTTGAAATAACAAATGCAGCTGGTATGCAACCTTCTTTCACCCACATCTCTCCTTTAAAAGTCATGTGTATTGTATGCAAGCAATAGCGTGGAGTGATTGTTATGGGCAGTGTACCATTGGGGACTTTGGTGTTCAAAAGGTCAGATTCAGGCATAATTAGAGTTAACTCTACTGAAACCTGTTGGACTTAAATTGGCCATGGTTGAGCTGTTTTTCAAACTATGGTAAATTAATTGGAATTTGATATTAGAATGTTAAAAAATATGTAGTAGGAGGTTGACCCAGTGAATCCAATGTTTGTGATGTTTGATGGGTTTTTTTCTTAGTGTTAGTTTAAAAATTTTAATAAAATATATATTAAAAAAAATTGGCCATGGTTAACACAAGTCTCACTGTGCTCTAACTAAGCCTGGGCCCAACCCAATCATTCAGGATGCTGTGGTGCAAAGTGAAAAAAGAAGCAAGAATTGCAGTATTCACTCTTGGCTTTCTAGGAAGCAAAGACCGATATCATAGTATTCCAGCTGCAGTTATATTGTCATGCAATGCTTGTTGAGAACATTTTTATTATGCATATAGCTGACAGTCATATGAATGATACTGAAAAGGCATTTGGATAGTGGAATTTCGTAATTAGCCATCTAGTGAAATTACGTGGCCTAATCAATTCTACTTAGGAGAATATTAATTGCCATAAAGAAAGGTAAGGATTTTCTTGACATCTAATTGGGTTGGACTTTAATCCTAAAGAGGGTCACAATAAGAATTAACCTCAAAGCAGTGCAAGTGTAAGGTTGCTCCCAAAAGAAATATTCATCCTGAAAAATGAGTTCTAATTTCTTTGCTAAGCCAAATGCTTTGGAATTGAAGGTTGTGCTCTCAAGGTAATTAGATTTATCAATGCCAGGTGGACTAATGGGCTACCTCATATCTTAAATGCAAATGGCTGCATCCCAAATCTGACTAGTCTCCTACCTTTAAATAAAACTTGCCTTGGGATAGGGTGGATTGGAATTAACAAATGGAAGGTGGGTTTTGATGCTTCATCTGACCAATTCTCTGCTTCAGTTGCCCCTACTCCCCACTTGTATCCAAAAAAGAACTTTCCTGGAGTTGAATCTAGCATATTTAACCTTCTAGCAGGACAGGCCCTCTACATGTTCTCCTCTTCCTGCAGTACCTTCCATGTGACTTCCAGAACTGCTTCAGAGAAATGTGGCACCCTTTGGGAGAACATTCTAGATGGGCGGAGGGCTGTAGGAGCATGCATGGGCATGGAAAACCATTACACAAATGGCTTCCTTCCACTGGCAGAAAATCTGTACTGGAACCTACCTATGAAAACAGTCTACCTGCCTTTCGTTATAGAGATATGGGAATAACCACATAGTTAACCAAACTACCACTGGAGAAGTTTCTTATTACTAATTATATCTTGCTTTTCAGGTTGTGGTATGAAAACAGTGTTCCATTAGGTCTACCAAAAGCAATAGCACTGTGGAGTTTATTCCATTCTGAATACTGAAATTGACAGCAACAGCAACAAGAGCCCATAAACTACTCAGAGTTGGTCATTTTGAAGTCTTTGGAAAGTTTCCAACTGTATGAAAATGGCACTGAATCTGATCCCGAACCAAGAGATGGTAGGGTTTAATAGGAACTCGATATAGTGGAACCTTTGAATATGAAAACTCAAGTCTGAAGGTTTTCATTGATGTCATTATTTCTGCAGAAATAGGAAAGATAGCCATATGGCTTCATCATGCTTGGTTTCTCCTCACCTGTTCTCTTAGTTCTCACAAGTTATAAGTCAGTATTTTTGCTGTGCCCCCTTCAGATTGCTATACAAAAACAATAACACTTGAAAGAAAAACGTCAATGTAGAGACAAAGTGTTCTGGCCTGGTCTTGCCTAGTTTTTTTGTGCCCAGATTAGAGTCCTTCCATGCACCTGAAGATGGGACCTTCCACAGTGAGTCAGAAATGGAACTCTAATTGTGGTTCCATACTGCACCTTCCTCCCCATTGTAGCCTCCCAGTGCTCCATCTCTATGGCAAGGGCAAAGAGGGTTGGGTACTACTGAGACGCAATTGACCTCTATTACAGTGAGGTCTTTGCTGGATTGACTCAGAAATAAGTCCAATTTCCAAAATATTCCTTGGAAATCATGCTTAGAATTTTAGACTTCAGTCAGCCAAGCTCTCTATCCCTTTGATATGGTTTAAGGATTCTGCAACATAGAAACTTCTCTTCATCATTTCCTGAAATGATTTCCTTCACCTGACCCACTTTTTTAATCACTTGTTTGCTGAATCTGACCTTTTCCTTCTTTTGCATTGGAACGCAGCTTGTAAAAGTCATATGAAAATAAAGCTAGAGCTACTACACTGATCTGGGCAGCTTCCAGGTAGTGGGTTTCTAGCAGGCTCAGTCAGAAGGTGTGATGCTACAGTTCTGTTTCTTTCCCCACCCAGATTTTCTGCACTACGAAAAATAATGTGGGGAAATCATGAGAAAGCCCAGGAGCATGATGAATGGAAAAGAGCAACATTTCTTCTCTCCCTCCCTCCCTCTCTCTGTCACACACACACACACACACACACACACACACACACACACCATGAGGTAGGGCAATTACACAATAAAAGTCTCCTATAGAAGCATCCTTAGTTCCAAATCTTTAGTGGTTCTCTACGACCCAGCCATGATTTATGTTTGTTTATTTGATTTATATCTCACCTGTTTTCATACAAAGATCTCAAGGTGGCTTGCATCATTCTCCTCCTCCTGCTCTGTTTTATCCCCACAACAACAGCCCTGTGAGGTAGGTTGGGCTGAGAGCCCATGACTGGCCCAAAGCCACCCAGTTGGCTGCATGACCAAGCAGGGACTAGAACCCAGGTCTTCAGAATCCCAGTCCTGTGCTCTTAACCACAACACCATACTAACCAGTTATTTAAGTCCTACTATATCGTGTGTGTGCTTTAGAGGCATTACGCATGTGTGGCAGGCTTGTATACATGTATGAAATTCCCCTTTGGGTAGGTTTGGTGATGGGATGAAGCGGAGGATGTCAAAATGTCCTTCCTCGCTTTAGCAGGTCTGCTTATTTTTCCACGGGAAAGAGATTAATATTGGGGAGCTGAGCTGAACACGTTTGTGCAACTGCTGCAGTTTTTCCTAACATCCAAAGGGAGGGCAGGGCAGGGGTCTGCAGGGAAAGAGGCTCTTTACTCCCCCTGCTTTCACATCTTGCCTTCTCATCTGCTCGAGGCACACAGCTTAGATAATGAACTGCTGGCTGCTGGCTGCCATCTGCCATCCAGCAAGCAAATATGGAAGCGTTTCTCACCCTCACTCCAGCCACGCTGCGGAGGGGAAGGCACAGGCAGGGGGTGTCTCCATGTTTGCTTCTAGGCTGCTATCACAAACTTTAAGCTAAATGCAGTGGCAGAAGATTGAGGGGTGTGAGTGGGTGACACAAACACCATCCTTCCCTCTCCAGAAAGGTGTTTTTCTCTCTTGCTCTCTCTTCTTTCTGTCCTCCCAATAAAATGTGAATAAGATTAGCCTTGGTAATTCCACAATAAATGCTGGTCTGGAAGCAGTCCAAGATTTTATTTATGCTTTTGGTGAAGAGCGCTCAATGTTATGAGTTCCACATACAATCTGAAGTGGAACTGCCCCGTGGCAGGTATCTCCCACCTTGGAGAGAACAAGCCTTCATTCGAAGCATTGTTCCTCTTTTGGCAAATAGGAGAAGCCTTGGGTCCAGATGTTCTCTCCATCTGGGGGGGAGGGGGGTTGATATGCTAGCTTTTACACGATACCACTATGCTGCATCTAAAAATGTTGGCTTTTCCTTTGGCAGTGGCTCTGGCCCTCCCATGGGTCAGGTGATGGCCCCGCTTATTTGATAACTTTCAGTGTCACTTCACACAGTCACTAATCCAGCACTCCAATTTACATAGCGAAGAGTTATGCAACCACTTCCTCCACCCACCCCAATGCACAGAATTTCATGTGCAAGGTGAATCCCTGGCAGCCGGATTCATACCTTTTCGGGCTGAATCATCAAACAAACTGGGCCATGTGTACTGGCCTCCATGTGTAGGGTGAGCTTCATGGATGGCTTTATCTGGATGATGGAACGGACAGTCTTCTGCTGCCTGCCCATGAAGGAAACTGAGATGCTGTAGCAGAGAATGTGCACCCCACCACACCTCAGGTGACCTGCAATAGCATGACATTAAGTGGCCTTGCTAGTATGGCTGCTCTAGGGTTCAAGGCTCAAGTGGCAGGCCTGTTGAATTCAGAAGGACTAAATAAGGTTACTGAACACGCCTGCATTCTCGAAAGACAGCTCAGAATGCCAGAGGCTTGGGATGCTCATCCATGTCAGGCGCAGGCAACTTCGATGGGCTGAGAGGTCACATTGTCCCCTGGAACCCACACAAGTAGTTGGATTCCCAGCAGAATTGCTGGAAATTCGGTGACAACAGTGGAACCAGCCACCTAGAGAGGTGGTGGGATGTCCCACACTGGAGACATTCAAAAAGAAACTGGACAGCCATCTGAGTGGGATGGTGTAACTTGGTGTCCTG